TTTTGACAGAACCATGCTTTGCCAAAACCAAGCCTTGACCTGCCCAAAGGAGCACTACCAAATTAAATCACTGCATATTACATAATGCAGCAGCGCATCAAACCTGGTATTCAGTTAATTGGTAGAGACACACCTGACTACACACTTCTCCATTCACATATCTTATATTAGATCGGAGTTTGTGAAAAAAAACGCATTTTCACCTAGGCATACCTTCGAAACTGAAATATTCCATATTAAATGTCAAGTCTGTAGAATAAAGTCTGTAATTTTATAATAAAGAAATGATCCACACGTTTTTCACAATTATATCATTGTATTGTCGTTAGTTGTAAAAATATACTTAAAGTGATTAAATATGTAAAATACTTATATATGTTCCAGCCGACTCCGAGCGAGATATAATAAAACGCAGAATAAGTAAACAAGCTTGTGATGTGTTCAATGATCTCCGAGAATCCGGGGCTCTCTGTGACGTCACCATTAAGTGCGACGGACGAGATTTCAACGTCCACCGCATCATCATGTCCGGGTGTAGCCCGTACTTCCGTGCTCTGTTCAGCAACGATCTCTCGGAGTCTTTTTAAGTCAGAAATCATTATCCCGAACGTTTCTGCAGCCGATATGGAGCTGATCATTCAGTATGCTTACTGTTTTTTTTTTTTTTCTTTTTTGCTGCTTAAAAAACAAATAAATAATTTTGTATACAATGGGACACAACTTTTGATTCAAATGCTGTCTATCTAAATATGCAGATAACTAGAACATTCAATGCACACTTGTTTATTTCCGAAGTGTTGGAAATAAAACAAATTTTGAGGGGGGTTACTTAAAGAATACTTATTTCCCCTAGTTAAGGGAAATTGTGTTTTTTTAACCGGAGTCGAGGCATATTTACTTTTAGCTCTCTCTCTCTCTCTCTCTCTCTCTCTCTCTCTCTCTCTCACACACACACACATACTTTCAGAGCATTAAGCTGGTTTCACTAGATATTTTAGCCTGAAAACTGACTCTCTGAGGTATTTGAAAATAATATAAAAAAAACCTAGGATCCAGATTCAGTGCAACAACTCAATTTTCAATACGGTATAAATCTTTATTAAGGTCTACTGATACACTGACAGGGAACAAGGTGGGCTTTGCTGGCGTCCTATAATTATTGACACCACCTTAAAATCAGCTGATCACCTTGTGTTGACTTTGTGACAGAAAGATAAAAAAGATGACCTTGTTAATGATATCACAACTGTAGGTTACTCTGTACTGGAGACAACCTGAGTGAATATGTAAAGAAAAATGGGTGATTTGTCCTTTTTTTCTTTTTTTTTTTTTTCTTATTATCTTTTCTATACGACGATGAAAACCACCGTACAGTATTCGTAAAGTTGTTCTCATTATACATCTTTACACGGTTTTGTGTCTCTGTTAATATCACACTGTAATAGAAGCTACTGAAATAACATTGATATCACTCCAACATAAACAAGCTTTAATACAATGATATAACGACAGTAAATACAAAACGGGCAGATGCCAGCAGCCAAAGCTCAGGAGTGATAATTGTTTCACTTTCATTTTAATTATTATTTTTTTTATTTTATATTATTTAAATTAAAATGTCACTTCATCTATCCTGGATATTCACGAAAACTTTTACGGAAATCAATTTTGGGCCGTATAGAATATCCTACATAAAGGGGACACATGTTTCCTATACATGTACGAGGCCCGAAGGAATTCCTATAAAGTCCATCAAGTCCATTAAGCCTATGAGACATTGATAGCTGATGATACAGACGATTGTTTAATTATTAAACTGTTTGGTACCCACTTTGAATAACATGACTACCCTCCATAGTTACAGTCTTCCCTCCTATACTGCATTTATTAGACCCTGATATACAGATATTCATGTAGTTATTAACTTCCATCTGGTTATGCTACAAATTGTTCTTTGTTCTCATAATTAACTTCTCCCTCCCTCGCTATAACTCCGTCGTTCAACCAACTGTTACCACTATAATGTTCTAATAAAGAAGGGAGCATTTGGCACGCACACACACACACATACATGCAGTCTTACACACACGCAATCTCACACACGCACACACACGTTTACACAAACAAGCACACACGCAGAGAGAGAGAGAGAGAGAGGGGAAGGGGGCAAACACCACACACGACCTGCTCTGAATAACATAGCTTAACCATGACCTTACATCGCCCTCGCCTTCACAAATACAAACATGACCTTCTGTTATTGCTACGAGTCGTTTACTTACCTGTGCATTAACTGTTTCACTTTATTTTGAGGTCGGGCATTACATAAAAATGCACTACTACACCACCACATCATCAGTTGATCTCCTTGTGGTGACCATGTGACAAAATTCGGGTATAAAAAGATAAAAAGATGACCTTGTTAACGATATGGCAACTGTAAGTGACTCTACACTGAAGACCAGCTGAGTGATTATGTCAAGAAATAATTTTTTCTTTTCCATTTTTTTCTTTTCCACTTCTCTGTACAATGATAATAACTACAGAACAGTACAAGCTACGGAAATAATGTTAACTTTACATCGTAATACAGGACTCAGCAGGACATATTTAGTGTTAGTTAAATGCCACTTCATTCATCCTTGATACACACACAGAGAAAGAGAGAGGTGAGGTAGTTGTGGGGGGAGGGGGGGGAGGGGGCTGAGCGTGCACCACACGACCTGCTCTGAATAACATAGCTTAACCATGACCTTACATCGCCCTCGCCTTCACAAATACTAACGTGAACTTCTTTTATTGCTGCACGTCTTAGACCCCATTTTCTTCTAGCAATAGCAACTACGTGTATACGACCCTGTATATTTTACAGGTGACGTGGCCCTTTTTAAGGTTCTGAGCAAATGTAATACAATCTCTTCTACTGTTTAGATCTGTTATGACGCACTGCACTTAGCGACGGCGCAGCAATAGCTTTGTTACAAGAACCTTCCTGAATACCAAATACACGCTCCACTGTAAAGAGCACTTATTCTTTAAAAATACTTGTCATTATTTGATTTACATACTAAAAGGTAAAATCAATGCGAGGCAGGTTAAAAATCACTAACCCGAGAGGTTCTGCGTGCACATAGCTCTGTGCCCAGCCTGGGAGGTAAAGTCACGATGGCCGAGAAAGAATTCTACAACGTCTTCAGTGAAAATTTTCTAACGTGCCATATATGTCTGGAGGAATTTAAAGACCCGAGAGTGCTCCCCTGTTACCACACGTTCTGTCTTAAATGCATTGCTGACCATGCAGCCAAGAATGGTGTCCAGAACAAGTTCTCCTGTCCCGTATGTCGCCAAGAGACCCTTGTACCACCAGGTGGGTTAGAAACTCTTGTGAAAAACTTCTTCTTAAGAAAAGTAATAGACTTCATGAAAGGCCAGAAAGCGCCCGAGGGGAGATTTTGCGAATATTGTAACCATAAAGAGGCCACTTTCATGTGCCAGGGATGTCCAGAAACCAACCAGCTATGCGCTACATGTCGTGATATTCACGACAAAATCCCGTTTTGCAAGGGTCATTCATTTTTACCTCTGTCACAAGTCGATTTCTCAGTTAGCCCAGCTGACATGCGAGATCAGTTACGGTACGCATTAGATAAATCTCAATACTGCGACAAACACGACGGAGAAACGCTGGCATTCTATTGTGAAAATGATGACACTGTCATATGCAGAGAATGTATTGTAGAATCTCACAGTAAACACGAATTCCAAAAATTAGGGGATGTGGTGAAAGTTCAACGAGCTGTAATACTAGCCAAGCTTAAATGCCTAACAACCGAAAAACTGTCTCGTTTTAAAAAGGCAGAAAAAGCCATTGCGGAAACTGAAGACGGGCTGACTGAAAATCAGACAAAGGTTCTTCGTTTGGTAGATTATCAGAAATTAGCTATGACTAAGGAGATAAATAAAAACAGTAAAACAATTGAAAGAGAAATCAAATATTATCATCAACAAATAGAGAAGGACGTACGTCAACAGACAGAAAAATATTTGGCCAATGTCAAACAGCATTTGGAAACTTATGAAACAAAAGTACAGTCAGATTACATCGAAATGCAGAAAGTTATAGATGACAAATGCAACGAAATAACGACAGAATTTAAGGCACTCACCTCCACGCAGGTGAAGACTTTAGAAGCTGAAAAGGACAGGCTAGAAATGAACAAGATTTCCATTCAGAGTATTCGTGATTTCGCTCAGCAGCTCACATACACCGGTTCTGACATCGAGGTCATGGCCCACTCTAAAAAACTCCAAACTAGAATTCAGGAGTTAGAGACAGTAGAACCAGTCTTTGATATCAATATCACCGACATAACATTTACACCAGGGCAAACAGCAATGGACGTTGTGCTAGAGTTTCCTAAAATTCCTGAACCACAGCTGTCCATCAAAACGGGGTCCATTACGGCCAAAACATACCGGGGTCCTTTGGATACGTATTTTGGGAATTTGAAACAAAAGAGAGCGAACTATCCTGCGCTGAAGAAATTCCTGAGAGTAACCTGGCTTGATAAGCCGGAGCGGAATGTTTATTTTAAAATGAGGGAGCCGTCGCGGGATATCCAGGATATCCAGTGCACAGATGATGGTTGTATTTTAGTTTTACGTAGAGATAACAGTTTCCATGTTCGTCGCTGGTGCATTAATCGTGATGCAGTATCCGTAATCTCCAGCACAGGTCAATGTAATCGTGAGATCAGTATAGAGGGAGAGGCGAGGTGTATCACTACAGTCAGTAACGGTAGATTCGTGGTCACATGCAGAGATAAATGCTGTAGACTGTATTCAACATCAGGTCAGTTTATCCAGTGTTTTGGTCAGGGTGATATGTCTGAACCCTGGGGTGTCACTGTAGATCGTACAGAGGGTAAGGTGTACGTGTGTGATAGTGGTGCACAGAGCATCTGTGTGTACGACATGATATCTTTTCAACTTGTTAACAGAATCCCTATCCCAATGTGTAGTGGTGTCTTACTGCGCTGTGCATACCACCACGGCATCAATGCAATCATAGTCAGCGACTACTGGGCCCACTGTGTGTATGCAGTGACACCCCAGGGTGTCGTCATTTTCCAATACGGAACACGAGGTCAGAGTGGAGGTGGAGACGGACAACTGTGGAATCCAGGTGCAGTGTGCGTAGATACGTTTGGACACATATTCATAGCTGACCGTGATAATGACAGGGTGGTTGTCCTTGGTTTAGAAGGAAGATTTCTAGGAAACATTTTGACAAAGAGTGACAACATTGAACTTCCTATATCAGTCGCTGTCAACAGTAACTGGGAGCTTGTTGTTGGAACCGCCGGTGGAGAAATATCCGCGTATAAGTATATTGCTCAGAAATGATTTGACAATTTGATGATGTTCGAATTGTGATTACGTTTACTGAGTAAAATGTAATGAGCACACAACAACCATACCTTAGAAGAAACTANGTGGACCTCCCGATTACTAAGAAATTTAGAGCAGCCTTTTCTACTTTCTTCTGATAAGATTTCCAGTTAAATGGTTTTCAGGCGTCATAGCTGCTTAGAATATCATACCTTTTGGATAAGACGATGTTTAACATTTCAACAAAGCTTATAACTGTCAACATAGGAAGATCTCGCAGCGTGTTAACGATTTATTATTATTCTGATAATTTCAACCAAGGGCACGATTGAGATCGATTTAAATTAAAAAATAAAAGTTAGATTAAAGGTGGACTCCATTTTAATTTGGTCCGGGTCTTACACCATAGAAAGGGAGCCAGCCAGGACAGTGTCCCTAGAGCTGCTACCATTTTACAGGGAAGGTGAGTGCAGAAGTATGGTTGATTTGTTTCTATTTTTCTTTTTATCTCTCGTTTATACAGAAAAACATTCATGGACATTCACTTTAGGGCATCCCATGGGGTCCTGGGGTTCATATGTATCCGAAGCAAGAACGAGGCTCTATAGAATTCCTGTAAAGTCCCAGAAAGTCTAATAGAACGCCCTTTGAACTTTTGGCAGCACACGCAGCTACATCTATAGCATTACTTGTGGAAAGTACTGCACTGATAGCTGGTGATACAGATGTTTGTTTAATTAGTAAAAAGTTACCGCTATACTGTGTAATAAGGAAGGGGGGTTGGGCACACACACAATCTCACAAATAGACACGGACAGAGAGAGAGAGAGAGGAAGAGAGAGACGGGAGGGGGCAAACACCACACAAAATGCTCTGAAAAGCATAGCTTAACCATGACTTTACATCGTCCTCGCCTTCAACAAAAAAGTGACATTATTTTTATTGTTACACGTCTTTGACCTTTCTTTACGAGGTACCTGTACAATAACTGCTTCACTTTGTTTTTAAGTGGCGCTCTACAATAAAGAGCACTACGAGTGCATATATCCCCTACGACATGTATACGTAAAGACTTGGTTTGATGTTTGGTTCGTGGAATAAAAGAAAAACACCTGAATTACAATCACACTCTCCGTTCTGTAGTTCACTTATTATTTAAATATCTCCGTCAATATTACATTTACATACTAAAGGTAAAATCAATGCAAGGTAGCTTTGAAATCAATAACACGGAAGGGTCGACGTCTACACAGCCCTTTGCCAAACCTGGGAGGTGAAGTCACACGATGGCCGAGAAAGAATTCTGCAACGTCTTTAGTGAGAACTTTTTAACGTGTCAGATATGCCTGGAGGAATATAAAGACCCGAGAGTGCTCCCCTGTTACCACACGTTCTGCCTGGAATGTATTGCTGACCATGCAGCCAAGAATGGTGTCCAGAACAAGTTCTCCTGTCCTGTGTGTCGACAAGAGGCTCCCGTACCACCAGGTGGGTTAGAAACTCTCGTGAAAAACTTCTTCTTAAGAAAAGTAACAGACTTCATAAAAAGCCCGAAAACGCCCGAGGGGAGACTTTGTGAATATTGTAACCATAAAGAACCCACTCTCATGTGCCAAGGATGTCCAAAAACTAACCAACTGTGTGCTACATGTCGTGATATTCACGACAAAATACCATCTTGTGAGGGCCATTTGTTTGTACCTCTGTCACAAGTAGACTTGTCAGCTAACCCAGTTAGTATACGAGAACAATTACGCCACATATTAGATAAAGCTCAGTACTGCGACAAACACGACGGAGAACCGCTGGCATTCTATTGTGAAAATGATGACACTGTTATATGCAGGGAATGTATTGTAAAAGTCCACAGCAAACACGACTTTAAAGAATTAGGGGATGTGGTGAAAGTTCAACGAGATCTTATACAAGAAAAGCTAAGATGTCTCCCTACTGAGAAATTATCTCGTTTTGAAAAGGCAGAAAAAGTTATTTTACAAACGGAAGAGAGACTGACAGTTAACCAGAAAAGGGTTCTTCGTTTGGTGGATTCGCAAAAATTAGCTATGACGAAGGAGATAAAAAAAAACAGCAAAACTACTGAAAGAGAAATCAAAGATTTTTATCAACAAGTAGAGAATGAGGTACGTCAACAGACAGACGCGTATTTGACCACTGTCAAACAGCATTTGGAAACTTATGAAACAAAAGTACAGTCAGATTACATCGAAATGCAGAAAGCTATAGATGACAAAAGCAAGGAAATAACGACGGAAGTTATGACACTCACCTCCACGCAGGTAAAAACTTTAGAAGCTGAAAAGGACAAGCAAGAAATGAACAAGATTTCCATTCAGAGCATTCGTGATTTCGCTCAGCAACTCACAGACACCGGTTCTGACATCGAGGTCATGACCCACTCTAAAAAACTCCAAACTAGAATACAGGAGTAAGAGACAGTAGAACCAGACTTTGTTATCAAGATCACCGATATAACATTTACACCAGGGCAAACAGAAATGGATGTTGTGCTACAGTTACCTGAAATCCCTAATCCGCCGCCGCTGTCCATCAAAACGTGGTCCATTACGGCCAAAACATACCGGGGTCCCTTGGATGCATATTTTGGAAGTTTAAAACAAAAGAGAGCGAACTATCCTGTGCTGAATGAATTTATGAAGGTAACCTGGCTTGATAAACCGGAGCGGAATATTTGTTTTAAAGTGAGGGATTGTCTGCAGGATATCCAGTGCACAGATGACGGTTGTATTTTAGTTTTACATAGAGATACCTGTAACAGTTTACATGGTGACTTCTTCTTTGACCATACAGTGTCAGTATTCTCCAGCACAGGTCAATGTAATCGTAAGATCAGTTTAGAGGGAGGGGTTAGTCATATGACTACAGTCAGTAACGATAGATTCGTGGTCACCTGCAGAGATAAATACTGTAGACTGTATTCAACATCAGGTCAGGTTATCCGATGTTTTGGTCAGGGTGATATGCCTTGCCCCTCGGGTGTCACTGTAGACCGTACAGAGGGCAAGGTGTACGTGTGTGATAGAGATGCACAGTGCATCTGTGTGTACGACATGGAATCTTTTCAACTTGTGAACAGAATTCCTATCCCAATGTGCAGTAAAGGTCCACTGTGCTGTGTATACCACCACGGCATCAATGCAATCATAGTCAGCGACTTCATTGTCCACTGTGTGTGTGCAGTGACAACCCAAGGTGAAAGCATGTTCCAATACGGAGCTCGAAGTCAGAGGGGAAATGGAGACGGACAACTGAGTAATCCACGGGGAGTGTGCGTAGATAAGTTTGGACACATATTCATAGCTGACAGTGGTAATCACAGGGTGGTTGTCCTTGATTCAGATGGAAGATTTCTGTGTAACTTTTTGACAAAGAGTGACAATATTGACTGTCCTTTGTCAGTTGATGTGAATTGTAACGGGGAGCTTGTTGTTGTAAGTAACCGACATACAATATCCACGTATAAGTATATCTCTTAGTAATGACATATCGGTACATGATTTGATGCTATGATAATTCTTGAATAAAAGGAAAATATAATGAACACAGCAAACGCACCTTATAATCCAGCAAGTTGCGGGAAAATTGTGCATTTTTAACCTACAAGCATGGAATTTGAGAACAATGAAATTCAAAGCAAATTTGGATATATAGGCATGTCTGGAAATTCCAAAATGGCTGCCGATTCCAAGATGGCCGCCAAAAATATTTTCATATTAAAACTTCTAGTATATAGCTTAGAATTCCATTCTCTACAAGTGTGCCGAATTTCATGCTTGTAGGTAAAAATGCACAATTCACTATTTTTCTACACCATGTTTCTTGACTATTATAAAGACCCAACACTATTTCAGCTTAATATACATACTGAACGTGTGTGGAAGTTCTAAATGAATTGATTAGATAAATATCAGCATTGAAACATATGAGATTATCATATTAGCACTTTCACCCTTTGCAAATTCATTTAATTCGCAG